GCTGCATATAGTGAGACCCATTAAATAGAACTATAATAAATAAAATAATTAATAACAGTAATAATAGTATTATTGCACTTTATTTAGTTTTTAAATAAAATAATAAATAAGTTTGATAATACTATTATATTTTAAAATAAAAAATGAGTATTAAATAAAAATAAAGTTATTTTATAGTACACTTAAAAAATACAATGCTAATATTCACATTTTCTTCTTTTTTCTGAATTTTAACATTTTGACATGTAAAATCAGCAAGCTTGTATGCGTTCAGTTCGAATTAAAATCTTATACAGTATTACAGTTAGTCGTTCTAAAATGGTGATTGTAAATTAATAGCTGTCAACCGTGTCGGTGTGCAAATGAACGGTCTGAAATTATTTACCCAGCACATTTTTTATTTTGGTCGTGCATGTGCACCTGCTCACCACTTAAGTGCACTCCTGGCAATGTTTTGTCATCCACTTGATTTTAGTTAAAATTTGTTTTACGGACTATTGTGGTCCTTTGTACTTCTTTTCTGACAACTGCAGTTTTTCCTATTTTCTTTTTTTAAATTTTTTTTATGAGTGCAAAAATATGCCTATAAAGTTTCACTGTCATCTTAGTAATCGGCCTATAAATAATGGCAGGACATCTACTGTAACTGAAAAAAAAAAAACATGAAGATGCAAGTTGTTATGATAAGCCAAAAAGTTGTTAATCATCTGCTCACAGGGCGTTATCACGGGCCATGTTGAAGAGGAAGATCGGCATTGTAGTTGTAGGTTTCCCGGCTACACCTATTACAGAGGCCAGGGCTCGCTTCTGTGTGTCTGCCGCCCACACCAGAGAAATGCTCGATAAGGTAATAAACTACAACACCCAACATCTCATAGACCTATCTATCTCTATCTGTATTCTTTGTTGTTGTTTTCGTACACTGTTAGTGTTAGACTTTTGTCTAGTGAAATAAAAATGAGTGTTGAGGCACAAAGAAAAATTTTAAAACGTAAAAGCTGAAAATCTAGTTTATTTCCAAAGATTTCCTAATAGGGATGCACTGATATACAAATTCTATGTGATACAGATTGACAGAATTGTGTTATGATATATGGCCAGTATTAAAATTCTATACTCTTTTGTCTAAATAATGGAAAAATAAAACACTACAAAAAATTATGTGAATGTAGGCATTGCCAAATTAGAATGAAATGGGTATTTCACTTTGAGATTAGGTAAAGATTACATTTAACAATTATGCAATTATTAGTGTTTTTAAAGGTCAACTTAGATTGAGCAATAGATTATGATGAGATGAGGTACTTTAAATGTTAATATAGAGGGAGCATGCACAATTAAATATCCCAAATTGACCAATATGATTTTTGGTATGGTATTTGGTAAGCTGTACATCTTTGATTGAGTAAAGAATTGGCTCAAAAGAGTAATTCGTTTGAGAATCAGTTGGACTACATGGGCTGCGATGAATGACACTGATTGAACACCTATTCAATTTAATTTTAGATCAATTGATTTAGCGCTTTTTACAATCCAAAGCAGATTTAATGCCTCAAAAAATGCCACTGGAAAGTGCAGCAGAAGTGACGCAACTCATCTCAGACATATTCCCAACAAAAAAATTATATATAGCAAGCTCTGATTTTCTTAGCTTCACATTTCACTGCATGTTCTTCCAGGTTCTCCAGAGCCTTGATGAACTTGGAGACGACATCAAGGTGAAGTTCTCCCGTCACAGATCTTCCTATCGGCCAGAGCTGTATGATGAAACAGACTTTGAGCTGGACAGCTAATCACTCATCGTCATCGCTGTGAGTGTGAAGGCTTGTCCAGAGACTGCCAAGGTGTGAATGCCTTGGTCGTTTTTAGAAGAAAAAGTGTCCTGCATTTCCACACAGGACAGTTCTGCTTTTCCCCAAAAAAATGATGAATTTTTGCAGTGTTTGTTATTGCTTTTTCAGGTGTGTTTTACTATGAGGCATTGACTTTTCCATGTATATTTTGTAAAATTATATTTAATTGGGTTTTTTAACTGCTGTTTCACAGTTTTGAGAAGTTTGTTAAACGATTTTGTCCTCGGGATTGTGGGAAAAAGGGAGGGGCCGTGTTTATAGAATGTATATCAAAAGCTGCTAAATCAAACAATTAACTCCCTTAACACTGACCTACATCAAAACTAGCTGCGGATAAGAAATCCCTTGAACTGGCCCTATTTTTTTATCCTGCTGCTAAGATGGACTAATGAAAGAGCTCCATTCTGTGCTGGATTATGTGTTTGTGTGATCCACAACTACATTGATTGAAAGAGATTGAACAAGGCTGGGCGTTTCAGACCCAGTGCAACTCATTCACAGTCATTAAACATTCACGCATTGCAGCTCTCAGCTCCAAGTCCTTAAAAAAATTTACACTGACATGCATTTATTTATATTTCATGTGCAGGAAACTACTTCTGATTATAAAATAATAATAATAATAAAATATTTATAGACTGATTGTACTTGAAAATCAAATGTTTGCTTGGAAAGTTTGAAAGGGTTTTCGTGTCATTTGTTTGCATATTTCAGATGCAGAACTTCTGTTCATTTGCTGGATTTTAGATTTTATTTCACTCATATTTTCTTCAGAAATCAAAACACCTAGTTTGACCATACCTAGGACTGGGAACCAAGAAAACTTCTCATTCAAAAACAGTTACACTTTTCAAAAAACACCAGTTCGGTTTGGTGTTCTCTGATTCTCAAATTAACTTGAGTCGGTTCTTTTTAGTGAATCAGTACCCTACAGTACAACCAATGCAGTCCAACCGATTCCCAAACAAATGACTCTTTTGAGCCGGTTCTTTTTAGTGAATCAAACACATACAGCTTACTGGGGACTTATTTTATGTTCTTCCAAAGTTCAAAAGTACTTTGTTAATTAAACGATTGAAGAATCAGAATCATTAAGAGGAATCAGGCACAGAACTTACAATTTCCATCCTTAATTATGACATGCCACCTCCACATTCACATGGTCTCTATAGTAACTGTATTTACCACAGTAAACACCAAAGCATATAGTAATTACCTCTTTGACTTTCATTTGCTGCAAAATTATTTGTGATAACAAAAAGTAGTGTCTGCACATGTTTTACCAAATTCTCTGCTTTGAATGAGACAAAACTTAATTGTTACATTTGAAAGAGACGCAAAATCGCTGTCTGAGCGCTGGAGCTCAACATGCCAAATATGTTGCACACGAGCCAATATTCACCTTAAACTAGCAATTAGTAGAGAGATGCACATTCCGCAGGTGTGGGGTAACCACTTGATTAATGCTGGGAGGAATCAAGACGGATAGTAAATGCTACAGACAGATGGGGTCTTAGTCTGCACTTGTTTCACTCATGTTTGAAACAATGTTTGTTATTTCAAGAATACCAACACCATAGTGATGAAGATTTCTCAAGACTGAGGTGAGAAACTGGGGAGATGTCTTGGGGACTAGACTCATCGGACAATGCATGTTTTTGTTCTAGCTATTTCAGGGACACAGTGGGAGTAATTGTTGTTGCACTGAAAACATTTGCAAACAAATGGAAAACAACATTTATCAACCAAGGTTGTGCTACTAAAAAAGACTTCCAATACACATTCATAGTGAACGAGCTCTTCTGCCTGTCGGAAATTAACTTTTTATTAAGGGGCAATTTTAAACCTTTAAGGATGGTTTTTTTATAACGAAAATTCTTTCCACCTGTCATTTTATGTATATACACCATACCAATTAAAACTTGTGAAATATAATTAAAGATATTAAAATATTATTGCAATTTAAAAAACTTGTTTCTATTTTAATGTATTTTAAAATGTAATTTATTTTGATGGCAAAGCTGAATTTTCTACAGTCATAACGGCAGTCTTTGACGTCACATGATTCTTGAGAAATCATTTGATCTGATTTGATGCACATATTTTATTATTATTACTGTTGAAAACAATTGTGCTGCTGCTTAATATTTTTGTGGACGCCTTTACTGCCACTTTTGATAAATTGAATGCATCTTTGCTGAATAAAAGTATTAATTTCTTCAACAAAAAAAGGAAAAAAATAAGAAAGAAAAAAACCCGACTGGCCCCAACATTTTGAATACTTTTGTCTTTGTATGTATATACAGTATATATATATTTTTTTTTTTTTCAAATTTTGTTTATCAGACATGAAAACCAATACATATTAGCTACACATTCACCATCACTATCTATTCTGACAGCTATAGGTCACTGTAATATCTGCAGAGGCTCAAAACAACGACTAGACTGACCTAGAAGAATAATATCTATTGTGAAATATCTCAAATATTACACAACAGGTTAAAACTGTGGAGGTATTTTAATGTCTGTGGTATTTTTCAGTGACATTTGTTTTACCCCAAGCCCAGGTTATCTGACCCTGGTGTAAAGAAATCCTGCCTTCACTATTGTCTGTAAGGTGGTGTGATGTAGTCGTAAAAGATTTGGGCCAGCAACTGAAAAATCTGAACCTTGCAAAGGATGACTCCTAAGCTATCACTTCTGCAAGGTACGTAAACCCAGACTCATTCTTTGATTACTGACATTTTGGAATTCTAACAGCCCAACTTGGGAAAAAATCCTTGTTTATAGGAAAATCAAGGACGGACACACATTTCAGCAGAAGAGCACAAATACACATGCACACGCAACAGGATGGGCCTCTCTCCATCAGTTTACCCCCACCCTGTGTGTCAGAGGGTCTAGCCGGTCTGGAGAACAGATGTCAAGTCTCCTTCCATCTCCTTTGCTACCAATGCAGCAATGTGCTGCTCCAAGAAAACATCTGTCTAAGCATTGACCATCAGCAAAGGGGCCCCATGAATTGGCTCATCCGCCCTTTGAAACTCGCAAGACTGTGTGCCACTCTAACTGCAAAGGTATTCTGAGCCCTGCCAGATTCCTCTCCCTTTTACTTCTTGCTCAACAGCACTAAATGAGATCATTTTGAAATGTTACTGAGATGTGAAGTGTACAATACTTTAGCTCTGCATACCACCTTTTCATCGATGCAGATTTGTATGCTTAATCAGAAGGTAGACAGTTCAAACAAACATCTTTGAAAGTTCAAGTATTCTTGAAAAAACACAAACCCCTTTGAACCACGCAATACGCAAGTTCAGGACAAGAGCTACAACATTTGTCGCACTTTTTTGATGTGGGCTCTCAGACGACCCATGAAGAACAAACAAATGCAAATCGTGACACACCTCGTTCCCTCCGTCCTCACATTCCTGAAAGTGTGAAATTTGGAGGAGGTAAAGAAAGCCTTATATTGTTACATCACCTCTCAGCTTAGAATCTACAATAAGTTCATTAGCACTATAATTACTCAAACAAAGGCAAAGCCAATAGGACTTTACAAACTCTGACCCATTAATCACTTTTAATTAGTGCTTTAAATTGAATTAATCACTTAAATCACTCAAGTATTTCGCAGAAATTATGTAGAGTTGAGCAGGTTTTGAGTTAGAGGTCTAATTGCAAAATGCACGTTTTATCTAGCAGTATTTATTAATGTTACTATTAAAGAGTTTGATCAAAATTGCCTTAAATTAGGTTATTTTTGTGAATTGTGTCCTCCATAGATTCCAAGCTTTTTATTTTTATATTAAACTTGTTATCAGTTGAATGGATTTTCAAAATGAAAAATGTTGCATGATTTTAATAGAGAGGGTCATGAGTTCTGAATTTTAAAGAAGATACTGATTTATTTATTTATTTTAACATTTTATAGTAATAATAGTTTATATGTTATGCCATCTAAAATGTTGGTCTGGCCTGCACAAATGTTATCTCTTCATCTTTTCCTCATCCACTGTATTCACAGTAAATCAACATAGGACAGATAAAGACATTTGGTACGTGTTCTGCTGATGAGTGCACTAGTGTAATGGGACATGAAGGGTTAAATCGGTGGGGAGGGGAGGTGACAGCAAACCAAAAGAAGAGGGGGATATAAAAACACCAAAGGCTTCGTGGGCACGAGTCTGGCTGTGTTTGTGCTGGACTAAAGATACAAAACGACAGAAGGGAACACACAGACGCGCGCGCGCACACACACACACACACACACACTAGTATTGAGCTGTGGTGTCGTGTGTTATTTGACAGCGCGCTTTTACGCAGAAGGTGTGTGTGGATACTCTTGCGCAAGAGCGGCTCATACACCCTCCTGAGGACAGAGCTCAGATGAGTTAGTCAGAGGAGGAACTTTGGATCTTGATCGCACTGAAGATGGGCTT